GTCAGCCAATGTCCCAAAATATCTCTACAGGTCTCTTTATGTCCACAAATACAAAATTTCCTCATATAATCCTAATTGTCCCCTAAAGTCCTCAGGTAATCCCGTGTCCTATAAAGTCCTCATATAATCCCAAGTGTCCCATAAAGTCCTCATATAATCCCAAGTGTCCCATAAAGTCCTCATATAATCCCAAATGTCCAATAAAGTCCTCATATAATCCCAAGTGTCCCATAAAGTCCTCATATAATCCCAAGTGTCCCATAAAGTCCTCATATAATCCCAAATGTCCAATAAAGTCCTCATATAATCCCAAATGTCCAATAAAGTCCTCATATTATCCCAAGTGTCCCATAAAGTCCTCATATAATCCCAAATGTCCAATAAAGTCCTCATATAATCCCAAGTGTCCCATAAAGTCCTCATATAATCCCAAATGTCCAATAAAGTCCTCATATAATCCCAAGTGTCCCATAAAGTTCTCATATAATCCTAAGTATCCCATAAAGTCCTCATATAATCCCAAGTGTCCAATACATTCCTCATATAATCCCAAATGTCCAATAAAGTCCTCATATAATCCCAAGTGTCCCATAAAGTTCTCATATAATCCTAAGTATCCCATAAAGTCCTCATATAATCCCAAGTGTCCAATAAAGTCCTCATATAATCCCAAGTGTCCCATAAAGTCCTCATATAATCCCAAATGTCCAATAAAGTCCTCATATAATCCCAAGTGTCCCATAAAGTCCTCATATAATCCCAAATGTCCAATAAAGTCCTCATATAATCCCAAGTGTCCCATAAAGTCCTCATATAATCCCAAGTGTCCCATAAAGTTCTCATATAATCCTAAGTATCCCATAAAGTCCTCATATAATCCCAAGTGTCCAATACAGTCCTCATATAATCCCAAGTGCCCCATAAAGTCCTCATATAATCCCAAGTGTCCAATAAAGTCCTCATATAATCCCAAGTGTCCAATAAAGTCCTCATATAATCCCAAGTGTCCCATAAAGTCCTCATATAATCCCAAGTATCCCATAAAGTCCTCATATAATCCCAAGTGTCCCATAAAGTCCTCATATAACACCAAACGTCTCCAAATTTCCTAATGACTCTGTAATGTCCCCAATATCCCAAACGTCACCAGAAGACCCTAAATCTCGAACGTTGAAATGCAATTTTTTAGATCCGTATTTTCATTAAACATTTCTCGATGTAACGTATTGGTTAAAATATATTTTTTTTTTAAATCCTCAGTAAACAATGATGTATTATTATTGTGTTTAAGAGCATATGTTTGTGTTTATATGAGTGTTCATGTATATATGCCTCAATGTGTGTATGCGCGGGTGTGTTTGCATATATGTTTGTATATGTGTTCCTGTGTAGGCTGATGTTTATGCGACAGAGTATGAGTCTAATAGTTAAAGAAAGCACTGAATTAGCAGTCTCCTCTTTTTTTTTAACAAACTCACGTTTATGAGATCCTACTTTTCTATCATATCTAAAAAATGGTATTATCCATTAATCCACTTAATTTAAATCAATTTAGTAAAAAGCACTCTAAAATACAAACGACACCGCTAATCGAAGCCAAGCTATCAGATCAATTTACACCGCTTTGTAGCACCATTAGCAACTCGCTATTGCGACAGCGCGATGTGTAGTCTAGTAGACCAATTTTATACTGCCGGCGTGATGGACACGGTAATGTCCTGGCTTAGACAGGCTGTAGACAGTTGAATGTACGCGGTGGTTATTTCATAGAGGAGCGCTGTGTGTTTTTGGCTTTCATTGTTCTATTTAATCAGTTGGTGATTTTCTTTGTGGTTTTTTTTTTTATAATTCTCGCTTAAAGACGGACAAGGATCTGGTTTCAAGATATGGTTGGGCTTTGAAAAGACGAAAATACATTATTATAATTTCTTTATCATAATATATACACACGTATATATATATATATATATATATATATATATATATATATATATATATATATATTTATATATTTAACTATACATATAAATTTATATATATTTATAAATTAATAAGCATATATATATATATATATATATATATATATATATATATATATATATATATATATATATATATATATACATGCCTATATATATATGTATATATATATATATATATATATATATATATATATATATATATATATATATATATATATATATATATATATATATATATATATATATATATATATATATATATATATATATATATATATATATATAGGCCTATATATATATGTATATATATTTATATATATATATATATATATATATATATATATATATATATATATATATATATATATATATATATATATATATATATATATATATATATATATATATATATATATATATATATATATATATATATATATATATGTCGTTATTGTACAAATGCACGTTTATATACTCGATTAAGTTATCATATAAAATGTTGACATTATGTAGATGTTAATATTTTTATTCATATTTTATCTGTATTAGCTCGTTGACACGTTTTGATAATGTTAGTTTTGGTAAGTATTGTTGCATCAAAAGTGTTTCTTTATGCCTTACATAACCATTCATTTAGCGCGTTATAAAAATCTCATTCTAAAACCAACGACGAAATTAACCATAGCAGGTCCGTGTTGGTAGCGACCAAGGCCTATCTCTAACCTTATCTCATCAGTTCTAACTTGTGGTGAGGTTCTCATTGATGGTTCATTGTCTTCATTGTCACCACAGATAAACAATGATTTTATTTTTTGTTCGGTCGCTTGTTGTGTGGTTACATTTTTTCATAAACCTTACCATTGAAAAGTTCCTCTCACGATGAACATATGGTTTAAATTTCTCGTCATCTGAACACGTGGTACCGCATCCATTACTGCGCATGCGCCTTGGTATTGTCGCAACGTTGTGTTTTTTGGGTTGTCATATGCGTTTAGTTTTAACTGCTGTGTCGGTTTAGTTTACATCAGTCTAATCTTATCAACCCCGCTCCTCCCTCCCCAACTGCCTTCCATTTTTTGTGTCATGTTATTTCATTCGTTGAGTTTCGTACCTCTTCCGGCGAAATTTTGCGACTGAATTTTGTTTTTATTTTATGTCAGTGGAATAGAGTGGTCAAGGCGGTAGTGCATTAGCTATTTGAAAGATCATTTTCAGTTTGTTTATGAACGTGTAGCTGGAAATATAAAAATCTCTCACAAAATACATCCAGTCTAACAGTCATTTGAAATCATCTACCCTAAATTATATACACTAATCGCAGCTAACCATTATATACACATATACACACATATATATATATATATATATATATATATATATATATATATATATATATATATATATATATATATATATATATATATATGTATATATTGTTATATCTAGTCTCTGAAACACTATATTATTTACTTAAGGGAAGTAATTCAGATGTTTCAGTGTATTACGCCCCTTTAACACAAACAATGTATACGTTTGGTGAAGCAGGCCGCGATATTCCAAGTCTCTGAGTACTTTAAACTGTACACAAAAAACATTTGATCACAGTCTGTGGCTTGCTAAGTACAAAGTGTAAAAGGATGGTAAAAAAGATAACACCGTTCATCATTAGATCTAAAGTTATATGTAAGCACTTTATAAAACACTTTGTTACTTAGATTTGGAGTGTGTTTGCATAATTTCAGTTTATAAACACGTTGATGTTTTCATAATTTCAATGGAGGTGGGTTGGCAGGTTTAAAAAAACAAACAATTACTACCATGTAGTTGAAAGCTTGACTACCTTTTTAGGATTTAGCTTGTTATCTATTGGAAAATTGTTTTAATGATGTAGTGTACACAGACGGTGCTATGGGTTACTGTCCAACAGGATTATGTAACAAAGATGGCCTATAAAGTCAAAGTGACATAGATGGCCGATCCATCATGGCCCACCGGCTAAGCACACAAAAAAGTTACTAGTTTATGTAACAAAGGTTCACCGAAATAGCTTAAGAGATTATTCTGAAGAAATAATCCCATCCACCTTAGAGTTATTGGTATATCCCGGAGATTCTGTCCGGTAACTCTTCGTGAAAGGGGGAATTTATCGTCCTTCCGCACCTCCTCTCAATCACACTGAACGATATATATATATATATATATATATATATATATATATATATATATATATATATGTATATATATATATATATATATATATATATATATATATATATATATATATATATGTATATGTATATATATGTATATATATATATTATATATATATATATATATATATATATATATATATATATATATACATATATATACTTCAACCAGCTTCCGTCAACCCCCGGTAATTTAAGTCCGCCCACTCTCACAAGTAGCCCCCCCCCCCCCTCCTGGAGAAAAAATGAGAGAAACACTGGTATAATACCGTAGCCGAGGGTGCATGGCGGAAGGAAAGTGTGGTGTCCGTCTACGTCCTTAATCAATTGTTCTCCCTTGAGTCAAATCGAGACTGCCCCTATATGTGTACTTACTTAGTTGCTCCTCAAAAATATAAATAGGATCTACATGATAGTATCCGGTTAGAGTTTGATTGTTATTCTCTGGGGGAAAGGGATTGGGGTGGTGGTGGTGTGGGGGGGGGGGGGTGCCCTTATACAGATGTCTGAAAGAAACTCTGATAGCGAGAGGAAGAAAACGTAACTCTTGCAAAATCTGAATCTGTTCCCCTTTTCTACCTGCCCCGAGGTAATACAGATAATCCAAAGGGAGATAACCTTGTAAGCTTAAACCGTAACCCCGGGTTATCTCACCCCTAACCACCTTCGCCGCTCTCGGTTCCAGGAACCGTGAAAATAAAGGTCAAGGTCACACTGGTCCCCCGTGTAAGGGCAATTTCCATAATATGAAGGTAGCCCCCCCCCCCCTATACATTCAATGTCAACACAGGGAGATCACTCTAAAATTAAAAAAAAAATTCTTTTAAAGAAATGTCACGTGATTTCGATAGAAGTTCTGAATGTAAACAGAAGATTTAAAGTTGTGTGTTGTAGGCCATATATTCAGCTGAATAATACACACTGCCACTTAGCTATTTGAAAAAAAAAAAATAATTTACCATTTTACCTTCATTTTTTTTAACGTTAAGTAAATTAAATATTTTTTTAACAATGCAAACGGAGAAATAGTTTTATGTAGGCCTACTGTCATAAGATTTGCATTAATTTCTAAAGCGCATTGTCATGCAGCGAAGTCCCATAACTCTTCATGTAGGGATCACAAGTTCTCTCCCCTTACCTGTGTAAATTTCTACTGAATTTTCTTTACATTGAATAAGATTTTTTTTTTACCTTTAAATTTGGCGACGTGAGAAAGGGGAGACTATCTGCTAAGGGGAAACAACTATAGGCAGAAAAAAAGTAGATTTATTCGATAACAGATATGACATGTAGCGTGGGACAGTTAGCGGAGGAAAGAGCGTGGGTTACGGATGTTTTAAGTGAGACGTGTTTACAAAAATGGCGAGTTGTGTTTTTTTGTGACAGGGAGTAAGGGGTTAAGCAAGGGAGGTAACTAGCGGACGACCTCCGGGACTGTTGGACAATGTGCGGACTGTACCTGGAGTAAGTGCCGCTGTTTTGTTTCTATTTATAGCTGCATTGTGGTGTAGAGTCGGTTCCGTGTGAGGGTCAATCGTAAGTGATTTGATTCTATTTATAGTAACATTGTGTAATGTAGATTCGATGGCATCAGTTTTTTTTTAAGGATTAACCCTTAATGAGTGGATTATAATTATAGTAACATTGTAGATATGAGTGTCTAAGGGTTAATCGTAGGTGAATAAATTCTAGTTATAATAGCTTTGTGATGTACAGTTGATGGCGTCAGTTGTCTTAGAGTTAATTGTGAGCTGGCTCTATTTATAATAACATGTGGTTTAGAATCTATGGCTACGGTTATCTAAGGGTTAATAGTCTGGGATATTGTACGTTCTAAGTTTAACTTTTTAAAAATTTTGGCTAATTATCTGGATATGCAAGATTATCTATAAAATTGTGTGGGATAATCGTATAACCTAAATACAACTAATGAGAATAATTAAGTGTATTGTTGGTGCAGATAATCTATCCAGGATAAGTAATAGAAGCAAATCCTTATTAGTGATAGATGGGTCTGATACATACGTCGTACCCATATATTCGTTCATGGATAAGCTAATAGTTTAATATAGTATTCGAATTAGGGTTGGGGTTAAGGATTAATTAAAGTATCGTTATCAGCGATACCAACCAAACGAATACGTGGGTCTGGGTAACCAAAGTGTGCGAACAGGTGTTTAATCATCAAATAATGGCTATTTTTTTTTATTATTAATGAAAAAGTAAACGGATATTTCAACGAAAATGTAACCAGAATTATACTGTTTAAACTCTAATTAAATATGGGTAGAAGGATGAGATGGGGAGGGGGGGGGGGGGGTTAGAGTTGACCGAGTCAGTGATGCGGAAAGTCAATTGAGGGGAGGCAGGTGGGACGTTGGCGTAGGTCACCAGAGCGGGACGGTGTTAGAGTGTTTGACGTCGTCGGCTTTCAAGTTTACGTTTTACAAATTTTGTCTCCCTTGGTGTGTGTGTATGTGTGTGTGTTTGTGTGCGTGTTTGTGTGTGTGTGTGCGAGAGAGAGAGAGAGAGAGTGTATGTGTGTTTGTGTGTGTGTATGTGTATGTGTATATCTGTGTGTGAGTGTCGTTTTCGTATACAAGACACACAAAACCTGACATGTCAAGACAAGAATATACACCACTACATATATATGACACCAGAACACCCATGTAAACATGACACCACAACACCCTTGTAAACATGACACCAGTACCCCCGTAAAAACATGACACCACAACACCCATATTTCCACACAACACCCATGTAAACATGAAACCAGTACACCCATGTAAACATGACACCACAACACCCTTGTAAACATGACACCAGTACCCCCGTAAAAACATGACACCACAACACCCATATTTCCACACAACACCCATGTAAACATGAAACCAGTACACCCATGTAAACATGAAACCAGTACACCCATGTAAACATGACACCACAACACCCATGTAAACATGACACCACAACACCCATGTGAACATGACATTACAACACCCAAGTAAGCATGACACCACAACACCCATATTTCCATGACACCAATGCTTAGTCTATCAGTGGGCGTCGCCTTATAAACATCGGGTCGAGCTGACCTTCCCAATGTAAATATTGAGTCCATTCTCCCCACATGAACTGTGTATTATAAATATAGTTGTATCTTTTTTTTAAAGATGAACTTATTTTTTAACGCTGTTAAAAAAAATTGTGGTACACAACCTTCGCGACCTTAATTCGTCTCTATCTTGTAGGGTTCGGTAAAGTTCAAAGGTCACCATTAAAGGTTAATATACCCGTCGTTGTTTTTTATCAGCGCCGCTGGTGTAATGGGTTTCAAACTGTGTCCGTCTTTTTTCCATGTTCCTAGTTTTTCAACTCTTGTTTTATATACACACATGCTATTTTTTTATTACTTTATTAATATGCCGACTAGACATAGCACTTAAAATATAAATCAGTGGTTAGTTTATTTTCAATAGTCTTGTTTTGGTGTATAGGCTTGGTCGGGTCGGATAAGCTCATAGTTGCTGTACCGAAAAGTCCCGAGATCGATCCCCCGGCTCGTTAGCTGGGGACAGCTACTCTTCTAGGAGAGACAACTCCGAAATCAAACAACTGCTGCCTTGTAGTTTGTTCTTAGTTCCACTAACGCTTAGGGCAAATCCAAAAAGGAAAATCAGGCTGAAATCGGAGTCAATGGCCTATATGTCGTTAGACAAGTTGACACGTAATACAAAATCGTGTTCGTGGTAATCCTTTCCAACACTAGAATTGAAGAAGCATAAAAGAAAAGGTGAACATAATCTACACATAATAAAGAAAAAAAATATATTTAAAAAAAAAACAATAGGACTTATAAAAACAAAGAAAAAGAAGATCATATTTTTAAAAAAAATCAATCAAGACTCTACATGTACATATACAGCTTAGACAAGTAGTTCTAAAATCTGTCTTTACTGCCCCAATGTAAATATTTCAAGGCAAGTTTTGGGCATTGAGTTAATATTATGAGAATTACTGATAATACACTTCAAAAAATTCAATTCAGTAAAATAAAATAAAAAACCTAACTATTAATCATTTTCATGTCAGGGAAAATATGTTTTTCATATTCACGGTTAATGAAGTTGAGCGTATGTCACAAGCTTTGTTTTCTCTAGGACATCGATAAAAAGATCAATCAAATAACTAATACCAACACCCATTAATAAAGTGACAGAACAACCCCCCCCCCCCGCGCCCCCATCCCCATCCTTTATACAGACAGCAGACAATAACATTTACCCCGGTTGTCAACAGACAGACCCAAGACAACCCCAAACTCTATGACGTCAGTCGTTTATGTGCCGCCAATTTAAAACATGTGCTTTTTTCAGAACTTCGCCCTTGACCTTTAGCATTGGCCTGGGGTGTAAAAAAAAAGAGGTACAGTACACATCCCCCCTCTCCACCTTACACCCCTCTGTTCCATTTTGTGGCCTTATTTCGTCATATACTCCTTCCCTACTCCTCCCTGACCCCCGTGACTCGGTCCCATTTTCCCTTACTCACCCCCCCCTCCGATCCCAACCCCTTCCCGACCCCAATGTTCCTATTGCTGCTAACCTTCAACTCCCCAGCCTCCCCCCCCCCTCCCCAGTATGTTGCTAATTTATTAAGTCAATACGATTGTCTGTGGATTTTTAAAAAGAAAGTTTTTTAAAATTTTGCAATTTAGCAGCAATACTGGTTACGATACATACTATATTACAGAGACGTAGCGAGGGGGGGGGGGGGGTGCGGGGGGTGACATATGTCCCCGGGCGCCGACCTTAGGGGGGCGCCAAATTGAAAATTTGAGGGTGGGGGGGGGGGTGCAAATGAAAAGTTCGAGGGGGGGGGTGCAGGTGCAAATCGAAAGTTTGTCCCCGGGCGCCGGGAAGGGTCGCTACGCCTCTGCTATATTATGTGATATCTAACCTACCATAATGGTGCTCTTAGCAAAACAGGACTTCTCAGACAATGTGCTATGTACTTTTATTGTCCTAACTCAAACAAGACATATGCCTGTTTATTGCTGTGTCCTCTCGTAGTCCTGTTGTCCTACCAACGACAAAACACATTTCTGCTCACTCCTACCCTTCTCCTTGCTCTATTGGACCATAGCGGTCATGCATATTCTGATGCACAATTCACATATGCATGCATAAGGACCAGCTGGTTATTAAATACAAAATTCTGATGTTTTTGTAATGTGTAATTTGGAAAGTCCATTGTGTAATGTTCACAAATTTCTGCGCATGCGTGGTTAGTATTAACGTTTATTTTCTGAAACAACATGATGTTTTTGTGTCTCTTCTTTCAAACAGCTCTTGATTTAGTGAATAATATTTGTAGTTAAACAAAGACCTTCGTATAGTCAAATAGTCTAAAGGGAGAATGGATTATGTAAATGACGAATATTCAAATACATATTTATTTACAGAAACACGTGAGTTATAAAATGTGGGAATATCAGACATGAATGTGTGTTATTGCTTGTCTGTTATTAAATGTCTTGTTTTGACAGTCTGTTATTAAAATGTCTGGTTATTTAAGTCTGTTATTGAATATCTGGTTGACGTGGTTGAGTCGGTAAAGCTCGTGGTTGCTAAACTGAACAGTCTCGAGTTCGACCCCTCGGGCAGATGAGGCTCGTTAGCTGGGGACAACCACTCTTCTAGGAGAGACAACTCCAAAATTAAACAACTGCTGCCTTGTAGTTTGTTTTTGGTTGTATAAAGGCTATGGAATCAAATCCAAAAGAAAATCAGGCTGAAATCGGAGTCAATGGCCTCAATGGAGCATAACAAGTTGACAGGTTTACTTAATTGTGTTGGAGGGAATCCCTTCCAACAAAAAAATTAAAAACGAAGAAGAAGAATGTCTGCCGTAAAAGTCTGTTATTGAATGTCTGCATGGAAAGTCTGTTATTGCTTGTCTGTTATGACTGTCTGCTATTTAATGTCTGCCAAGACAATGCTTGTCTAGTATAACAGTGTTATTGGCTATTTGTTGAAGGAGTTGAGTGGTCGAGCAGTAGCTCATGCCACTGTCATTAAAGAATGTAGTTCAAACCTATCAGAATAAAAAAATCGTCTTGATTTAATATCTAAGGCATTCAACTCTAAGTAAGGTGGGGCGTTAACTCTGGCTTAACATTGAGTTAGTAGGCCTATAGCAGCCATGTATTCTGACTAAAATCTACTGCAGTATAACTTGTATATTTTCTAGCGTAGACTTGCATTAATATCAATGTATTTTTATCTACCTTCAAATTACATTTGTAAGCCCATTATAAATGTAATTGTCTAAGTGGTATCTAAAAGACCGCCGCAAAAAATTAACTGCCTTAGCTGCTAATTCCAATCAACGTTACCCTTGAACATGTCAAGACCATATATAATTACTTCTGCCCAATAAAATGTGTATGAACAACA